GTGGCCTCGAACTTAGCGGGATCCGCTCGAAGGCCACGCTTCCCCTAGAACGTGATTTAATCCGCGCCGAAGATACACTTATCGGCATTAACATACATCTTATTTGTGCGCATGCACACGAGTTCCGCTCTCAAATGGACGATGTGGTGTTCCTCTTCTATCCTCCTGTGCCCCGCACGACTGTGGGCGACAATGTCGTCAAAGTATGATTGTGCGTACGCTCGGTGGGGCCTGAACAATCGCGTCACAAGACAAATAAATGTTGCTGGTGTATTCGAAAGCCCTTGTGGCATCACCAGCCACTCCCAGAGCATGCCGCTCAAAGTACTCACCGCTGTCAGTGGAATATCACTCGCTCTCATGAGCAATTGGTAAGACCCATCTACCAAGTCGAGTGCACTGTATTTCGTACATCCCACCATGTTGTTCTGAAGAAGAACCTTTCTAGAAGTCGGCGTTTGTGCCGGAATGGTGGCAAAGTTTAGCTTACTGTAAGCGTGAGCGATACTCCACTTGCCGCTCGGTTTCTGGTCGCAAAACATGGGATTGAATGGGGAGTCTTGCTCTTATGCACCATGCCTGCGTTGTAATTCACACGGGATAAGGCGTCAATGACGTCGCACTTCTCCTTGGGCAGTAGCCATTGGCGTGTTATGCACTGATTGGTTCATAGAACCAGGTCGATCTCATGACGCACACCTCGGTCCGGAGGTAGGACCGACGGCGGGTCTTTCACCAAAGGATAGTACAGATCACGATCAAAGATGCACTTCGTGCGCTCAAACAGCCTTCAGTGTTCTCTAGAACAGCTTTATCCAGAAACGACGACGAGTTTTTTACGCGGCCTTAAAGTTGTATTCTGCGAAGATGACAACCAGCGAGCCATCCGCTGTGACAAGCAAGAAGACTGAGCTGCGTATTGCACGTTTGCGTGATTCGGTGTTGATCCTAAAAGGTGAAGACGAAACTTTATCAGAGCATACTAAACATCCGTTTCATTCTCTTACTGTATTTGCTATTTATGAAAATATCATAGTGTAAATTAAAGTCCCAACCCTATAACAAGTGCAAAGGACACACGTTGTCCGGCGAGCAAGACAAATAAAATCGCACGTTTATAGCCCATTTCGGGCTGGAATGCGTGTTTTG